TGCCGTCCGCACCGAACCGCCGCGCCGCGCCGAGTCCGAGCAGACCGAACCGCGTACGAACGCACCGAACCGCGCCGCCAATACCGCGCCGCCGCCGACATATCGACCAATCGATCGCCGTCGCGCGGACAGATCTCGAAGCGCTGCCGCGCCAGATTATAATACAGCGAACCACCGTCAGAACGGCCGTAGTTATAAGGATAGTTATAAGTTAGCGATAAGCTAGTTGTAAGTAGTTAATGTAATTCTAAGTTTTAAAATATAATTCGGTAGTTAAGATTTAAAACCGACTCTCTCTCTTTTCGAGACACCCACCGCCGGACCCTAGACTTCCCGCGGCTATCCGCTGCACAGATTTAACAGATTCAAACGGTCACAGTTGAACTATTAGTCTATCCAACTTAACACTTAATATTCCTGAAATCGAAACTTTATTTTTCGACTTTTGGCCAGCTTTTCGGGATTTGGCCCCACTGTGCGTCGGTCAAAACTTTGGGCACAAGTTTTGCGCAAATCTTCCGCATGGCCAAGTCTTCCGATACAATCTCATGGACAATGGTTTTCGGCAAGTTCAATAGTTCCGATATCATACGAACACTCATTCGTCGGTCTGTATTGAGCAATTCGCGCACACGGGTGAGGTGTTCGTCCGTTCGCGATGTTGATGGGCGTCCAGAACGGGCTTCGTCGGTGACCTCTTCCCGACCTTCCTTGAACGACTTGTGCCACTTCTTTGCCGCGAATAGGACATGCAAGCATCCCCGAAGGCTTCTTTAAGCATGTCCCATGTTTCCTTCGGCGTTTTGTTGAGTTTAACACAAAACTTCACCGCATAACGTTGTTCTACATATTTTTCCATCGTAACTACGACGAGGTCACTGCACAGAGGTTCACGTGGAAGCACGTCCTAACCCTCCAAGAGCTCGGAGGCGACTAACCGTGGCATCTCTGGATAGCTAAAGGTTGTCTCCACCCTTCCTAACCGGTCGCACCGCTCCGCGTTGTATAGTCGCGTTACAAAAAAATGAGGCTCATTACTTTCCGGACAAACCCTGTACGTAGCCCAAAGATGATATATTTATATTGCACAAAGATTTCTTGAGGTTTGTTTCAGTTGAGAGAACTACAGGAACATTTTTAGCTAATGCAATTCTTTTAGAATTAAAACGTTTAGGAATGAACTGCGAATACTTAGTCGGACAAGGATATGATGGTGATGCCGCAATGAAAGGATGTTTTAACGGTGTACAGACAGTAATCCGTGAGATTCACCCGGAAGCTTTGTACGTGCACTGCAGCGCGCATTCGCTAAATTTGACTTTAGCTCATTCTTGCCAAATACAGTCTATTCGAAATACTATTGGCATTATAAAATCGATTGGAAACTTTCTAAAGTACTCAGCAAAGCGTACCACTTGTTTAACAAAATATATAATGAAAAACTATCCTAAAACCAAATGGCAAACTCTTACGGCAATGTGCGAGACTCGTTGGGTTGAAAACCATGATGGGTTAATAAGATTTAAAGAAATTTTCAAAGCGATTGTTGATACGTTGGAAGATTTAAGCATGGATGCGGATTCTGAAACTTCATCAAAAGCGACTTCTTTTCTGCGATCGATTATTGCCAGCGACTTTATCGTAAGCTTGTGTTGCTTAGGCATTCTATTTTCATACACATTGGGTGCTTTCCAATTGCAATATCCCTAGACACTTTCGTGCACACGGCGACACAAATGGCGTTCCAATTGTCACAAATGTCGACACACCTCTTCACATTCGTACTCAGCCTGAGGGCTACTAGTCGGCTGTGTAAACTTGTGTTTTTTAGTGACAAATAATAGTTACTAAGTACGGCGGCTACAAGTGGTCGGCATATTCCTTCGCTACGACGGTTTACTATATAAAAGGGAAAAAAAGAAGTGAGGTTACGTCTGATATCATTCTGGCGCATAAGTAATACCGAAGTGGGAGGAGGAAAATACGCAAGTACGGCACACATTTTTTTTTTCTTTTTACTCAACAATGAACAACGGCAATATTCAGAGTATCATTGAGGTAATAAATATTTTGAATCAACATTAGGTGACGCAGTTTCGATCACCACCATGGATTAAAAATACCAAGCATGGATAGTATACTACTTTGTGTACTCTTTGTGGTATATTTTGTTCCAATTGAGTCGTGCACATCGCGACACTTTGTGTCTTCTTGTGTACGTTTGTGTTAAAAAGTGTAAAATAATTGGAAAGCACCCATTGTCACTTTGTAAAATCCTACAATCTCCCGAATGTGACTTAGTAGCTGCATTACAACATGTCGACATTATAATAAAGACTGTTCAAGATATTCGCGAAAATGTCAGTTCAAAATTTGGAACGATATTCAAAACCGCACTCGATTTAGTCGAAACTGTAAATGAAGAAATAAAAATTCCGCCAATAGCATTACGACAACAGCATTGAGGAAACTGTAATACACAAGATCCAGAAACATATTTTAGAATTAGTATCATGATACCACTCTTGGATGACTTCACCGATCAGTTTCGTTCCAGATTCGAAAATCATAAATCGATATTATCATCCCTCTACATTTTGATACCTTTCGTGTGTTGCAAAAATGAGAGTGTGTTTCAAGTTGACAACTTCAAACTTTATGAAAGATTTTTGGAGTATGACTCTCTACAAGCGGAATTTGATTTGTGGAGAACAAAATGTCTGAAAAAATCAGACGTAGATCGGCCGACGTGTGCCATCGAGGCTCTCGGAGAATGCAACCAGGATCTGTTTCCAAACATTCACAAGCTGTTGAAAATTTTATCGACATTACCTGTGTCGACAAGTACCCTGGAAAGGACGTTTTCTTCGTTGAAACGTCTAAAAACGTATTTAAGAAATTCCATGGGCCAAGAAAGGCTAACCGGATTGTCGTTAATGTCAATTCATCGTAGAATTGAAAAAAAAGGTAAAAAAGCACCAAGTATAAGCTTCAACGACCGAATAT